TCGGGGGAACAGGGACTCCCCCAATGCCTGCTGGTCCCCCCTGACTAGTTTGTAACAGGCCACTAGATCCCCCCTCAGCCTTCTCTTGTGGAGGCTGAACAGGTTCAGGTCCCGTCACCTCTCCTCATAGGGCCTGCCCTGCTGCCCCCTGACCATACGAGTGGCCCTCCTCTGGACTCCCTCCATGCTGTCCACATCCCTGCTGATTTAAATACATCCAGTCCCTCCAGAAGTTCCCTGACTAGATCCTCCCTGACCCTTGGCCTAGGTACGCTTCCCCTGGGGCCTGAGGGGGGCTCGGTGGGGGGCACTGATTTGGTCCCTGCTCAGGAAAATGGAGGCAAAGAAGTCGTTAAATAGGTTAGCTTTGTCGTCTGGTGTGATGACCAGATTTCCTAGTGTGTCCTGCAGGGGCCCCATGTTACCCGGTACCTTCTTTTTGCCCCCTATGTATTTAAAAAAGGACTTCTTGTTGTCCTTGATCTGGGTTGCTTGTCCCAGTCTCATCTCCGCCTTGGCCTTCCTGACTGCCCCCTGCATCCCCGAGCAAGGACTGTTAGAGCAGGACCACCTCATGCAGAGATGCTGCCCGAGCTGGTGGTTGTCTGAAGGGCCAAGGAGGAGTGAGAAGCCCCCAGCAGCTCAACCTGAGATCACAGCTTGGTTTACAGAGCAGCCCTCCTTTCTGCCTACAGCAGCACTGCCCCTCCCCTCCTGCCTACAAAAGGGAGTCTGCCAGCAAAGCAGGGATGGATACTCCAAAAAAGAGCCTTTCCCTACCAGCTCCATGTTAATCCTCCCCCAGCTCTACATTCACCCCACACCCAGCTCCCCAAGGATAGACACAGGCCATACAATATCATCTTCTTTGTTATAGTTGGCAATGTCCTTCCTGAGAGTACGGATGATGATCATGCTCAGAATGCCTAAAACACAAGAACAGGAGAGACTCGGTTACCGGGTTTCCAAACCTGGTCACTCCAACATACCAGGAGGCTTCACAACTGCAGCCGAGGTGAAGGCTCCTTGCCCCAAGGGAAGCCCTAAAGCAGGCGTGGGCAAAATGCGGCCCGGGGGTCAGATGCAGCCCATCAGGCCATTCTAGCTGGCCCACAGGGCCCCTAAAAAATTTAGAAAATTAATATTCATCTTCCCTGGGCTGCCTGTCATGCAGCCCTCGATGGCTTGCCAAAACTCAATAAGCCGCCCTCTGCCCAAAATAATTGCCCGCCCCTGCCCTAGAGTGACTGTGCACCTTTCCAGAGTCTATTTCCAGATTCAGACTCATCGCCTAACCAACCCCACTTGCTTCTGTCCCAGTCTCACTAGGCTCCTTTTTGCAATCTACTTGTTCTCCTCTCTGGATTTTAAGGATATCCCTACACAGAGAGCTGTCCCAGCAGAA